GGCGAGGGTGAGGGCAAGGGTGGGATTGATGTGGTCTCGGTGTCTGGTGCGCGACAGTATACGAGCTGCAGAGTTCTGAATAACCTGCAGTGTGGAGGGAGGGCCGGGAAGGCCGGCGAGGAGAGAGTTCCCATAGTCCAGCCTTGAGGTGATAACGGTGTGGACCAGTGTTTCAGCAGCGTGAGGGGTGAGGTAGTGCTGTAGTCTAGCGAAGTATTATGTCTCAGAAGTATTTTGTGCAGCCAACGATGACAAATTGCATTTGAGTAGTGTCTTTCACCTCAGGAGGATGTCCTAAATCGCTGAACAGTCAAGAGTTTGCACCCGAGCGCTGGGGGTTGAAATCAAGAAGGGTGGAGGGCAAGGTGGGTGGGAGGCTGACTGAAGGCATGGTCAAAGAGGAAGGTTTTGAGACGAGCCTTGAAGGAGGCAATTTAAGGGGTGAGGTGGGGGGATTCGGGATGGAGTTCCAGAGGGTGGGAGCAGAATGGCTGAACGCCCAACCACCGATGGTGGGGCAGGCTGGTGGGGGATGTGGAGTAGACCAGTGCCCGCCGAGCGGAGGGAACAGGAAGGTTGCTAAAGTGTTAGTAGGTCGTGGAGGACAGAGGAGGAAGATGGTGGAGGGCATTGAAAGTAAGGACAAGGATCTTAAACGCAATCCTCTGGGGAAACGTGAAGCCGGGCGAAGATGGGGTTAATCGGCTTCCAGAGCTTCGTATGGGAGAGAACACAAACTGCAGAATTCTGAATAATCTGCAGTTTGTGGATGTAAGAGTTAGAAATTCCAGTGAGCAGGGAGACAGCGTAGTCAAGCCTGGACATAACGGAAACATGAATAAGGGTATTGGTAACCTGAGGGGACAGGTAGGGAGGGAGGTGACCACCGCTGACTCACCTGGGACCTGACACCAAACTTCCCTACCGGTTGACTTAGTCATAGATGACCTAAAGCAATGATCAAAGAGTTAGGTCCTCAGGTGCCTTGATCGAGGAGAGACAAAGCAAGTTAGTTGGAGGGACTCTGGGAAAGGAGCTTCAGAGAGTGGGGGCAAAATGGTGACGGTGGGGGTGCGGGACATGAAGGAAGACGGTGTTTGCTGGCCATAGGCAATGACCGAGTTGGGAGGTCGTAGAGAGGATTTTTTCATTGGGGAAAGAGACAGTTTTGCTATGAGGGTCGGGTCCAAATCCAGCACCTTGGGACGTCCTCCTGACGTGAAAGGCAAATACAAATGTAATTTTGTATTTGTAGGTAAAAGTAGATCTTCCAAAGAGCTGGCACACGCACGATGGGTTGAATGGCCTTCTATGCTGTAATATGCTATGATTCTAAATGATGTGATTCTATCGACAGGACTTTCAACCCAATCTCTGCTTTTTTCACACCTTTCAGTTGCCAAGTATCTCTCAAACTTCTTTTCAAACACACTGATTATAAACACATTATAAACGGGTATAAACACAATTATACCTGTGCAGTCTTCACAACCCTCTATGAGAAAAAATATTTCTGATCTCACTTTTAACAGCTCTAATTTTAGTATGTTTTTGATCACCAGAAGTTATTTGGTATCTAGTTTGTCAATATTTTTCATTAATTTATATACAATCCCTGATCAGATTATCCTATAAATTTCTTATTTCCAGCAAATGTAAAACAACCTCTCATCAGTCAAACCCTTTTATCCCATCTTTTAATCCAGTGAAGTCGCTGAATGCCCTCTAAGATTAGTATATCTCTCCTAAGATCTGATGCTCAAACCTTCACACAGCACTCCAAATAAGGTCTCACCAGCACGTTATATAACTTAGCCGTTATGTATGTTTTGCGCCTCAAAAACTGGTTTCAATTTCCTTTTTTTGTTCATAATATAATAAAAATCCTTGCATTTGGTATAGTGCTTTTTATGTCTTCTAGACATTTCACAGAATAAACTGTAAAGTGAATTGACTGTACATTTTTTGAGTGAAACCATTCTGCAGAGATCTCAGCTTGGCTCAGTGATAGCGCTCCTGTCTTCGAGTCAGGTTGTGGGTCCAATTTCCACGTCTGGACTTGAACTCACATGGTCTGAGATGACACTCCAATGAAGTACTGGGGAGCGCTACATTGTCGGAGGTGATGAGACAGTAAACCGAGGTCCCGCCTGCCTGTTCAAGTGGATGTTGAAGATCACCATTTGAAAAGTGAAGGGAGTTTCTCTCTCCCGGTGTTCTGGTCAACAATCTATCAAATAAAAATTAGACATTAATTTTATGGCTGTATGTGGGACATTGATGTGCATAATTGTACTGCTCTGTTTGCCTACAAATACACAGTCACTTCATTTCATAGTAAATCCTGTGAAGTGTTTTTGAGACTTGATAAGGCGCTATACAAAACGCAAGGTTTTTAAAATTATTTATCATCTCAGAAATGAATTCCAAAGTATTAAAGAAAAGGTGATAAAGAATATAAACTAATTAATTAAACGACAATGTCTGTTTGGGGGTGTATTTGCCAATATCTCATTAACCGATTGACGTAGAGACACGATTTATATTCATCGGAAAGGTCTTGCAAAGACCTCAAGGTTCTTAAACTTATGGATCTTTTCACCAAAATCATGTCTTTGGCAAAGTCCGTTGTTAGCTCTACACCATTGAGTGGCAAAAGTGTGGTCTTCCTCATGCACACATTCTTCTGTGGCTCATCGAAAAAATGCGGCCGAACCAAATCGACAATGTGATCTCTGCAGAACTGCCAAACCCAGACCGAGACCCTGTGCTCTTTGAAATCGTAAAGAAACAAATGATTCACGGCCCATGTGGACAATTCACCAGAAAATCTCCCTGCGTGAAAGATGGCTCCTGCCAATGCAATATCCAAGGAGCTTCATACAGGAGACCCAACAGGTCATGATGGGTATCCTTTGCACAGGCGGAGGTCAACTGGAGGTGTGGATCCCATGCAGGACTGACAAACATCTGGTGGAAGTAGACAACCATTGGGTTGTCCCGTACAATCCCTATCACTTTCGGCTCTTCAACGCTCACATCAATGTTGAGTTTTGCAACTCTGTTAAGAGCATCAAATATGCGTGCAAATATGTGAACAGGGATGTGACATGGCTGTGTTGGACTCAGTAGCGGGAGGAAGCCCGAAGAGACGAGGTAACATACTACCAGATGGGTCAATATGTGAACACCAATGAAGCAATCTGGAGAAATTTGGCTTCCACATACACGATCGATATCCAGCGGTCCAACACCTTCAAGTTCACCGTGAAAATGGCCAAAGGTGTTTTTTTACAAAAGCAAATGTTCAGGAACCTAAACCTCCCAAACCATGCTAACTGCATTCTTTGAACTATGTGTGTTTGCAAGAATCCTTCTCTACTTTGAGCTCCCAAGAACTTCACATGGGACTCCCAGACCAAGAAATTAATATAATAATAATAATCACTGCATTTGATATAGCGCCTTATCACGTCATTGAGATGTCTCAAATCGCTTCATAGAATATACTGTCAAGTGTAGTAACAGTGTGTTTTGTGGGTGAAACGCAGCAGCCAATTGCACATAGCAGTGTCCCACCAACGGTCGTGAATTGATTGACCAAATCTTTTTTTATGCTAACACGGAAATCTCATCAACGATAATTATGCAATACTTTCCGAGAAGCATGTCACCGCAGGGGTCTCCTAGAGGACGATGCCTACTGGAACCAGATATTAGAAGAAGCAGCTGCGGCACGGCACCGTCTAATATCAGACTGAGGGATTTGCAGACGAGTCAATGAGGGCTGGGATTCATCCCACTCAGCTCCTGTTAACTCTACAAGCCAAAGCCCTAATGGGCGGTTGGTCCTCCCTGGACAAGCAGTGGGAAAGGTTGCCAGACCAACGATATCAATGGCAAGATAGGCCAGTTTTAGTTGGATAGACTCCAGCAGTTACCCCAGTGCACACTCTGGGGTCCCCAAACCTTTGCCAACCTGCGCCTAATACTTTCCAGAATTAGGTAAGCAGGATGAGTCCCTCCAGGGAGAGACTGCGCATTGAATTTCAACAATCTATCTCTGGGATTTCCATGTGTAGGTGGGATG